TCCAAATCTTTCTCATTTATGGTTTCTCAAACTCTGATTTTGATTCTGCCTCATTCCCATTGCTGTCCACTTGCTGTTCTGGCTTACTCTTTCTGGTATACGCTGGCTCCACACTCCAAATTGACTGTGAAATTTTTCTTTCAAAATTGACCTAAATTTTGCTGACTAGAGATGTTGTGCTTCCCATGTATGGACAAGGAAAGAAACGTAACAGAGGAATTAACTGGGGCTTTACTGCAGATCTGTACAGATCCACTGTGCAGGGATGTGCCATGTTTCCACTCCTATTATATTAGTTCTAATGAGTTTAAGATGCTATCTGCTGTCCCTTACATATAAATATGTATACTTGCAAATTCCATTGTGTTTAATCTGCAAAGCAGATCAAATTAGGTGCAGGATGGCAGCAATGACAGTTTTCCTATATGAAAATTTCAGAGGACTGAAATCTTAGTCAGAGGTCTCTCTTATTAATGTCTGTTTTCCATTTATTTTGTAGAAGGAGCAGAATATCTGTATCTGAAGCAGTACTTGCCACACTGATGCCTTAGGCAGAGAAATACAGACCTCAGAAAAATCAAGAAAAAAGTTCTAAAAAATTTAGCTCATATCTATAATTTATCTATATATGCTATTGAAGTCTTCTAATCATTGCTATTCAAAGAGCAACAGGCACGCGACCAAACTCTTTCTGAAGCTTGTTATAATCCAGAATTAGGATGGTCACTTAAATTAACTTGTAATTGGCTTCAATTACAAAAAACCTGTAAAATAATAAATGGTTTAAAAGGTGATAAGTATCTCATATTGACAATATTTTCCAGCAGAAGAAAGTGGAAAAATTGAATTATCAGGTGAAAACAAACTGAACAGTATGAAAAACTGCTCATGATTAAATTTAAGAACTCTCTGCCACAGGCATTGTAAAGGACAAAAGAATAGGCAGGTTTTGTAAGCCGATGGGGAAAATATGTGGGGAACTGAGCAGCTTCTGCTTAGGCAAGTCAAGTACCTGGAGTACTCAGTACCTGGAGTACTGCATCCAGCTCTGGAGCCCTCAGCACAAGAAGGACATGGAAGTGTTGGAGCAGGTCCAGAGGAGGGCTACAGAAATGATCCGAGGGCCGGAGCACCTCTCCTATGAGGACAGGCTGGGAGAGTTGGGCTTGTTCAGCCTGGAGAAGAGAAGGCTGCGGGGAGACCTGATTGCAGCCTTTCAGTACCTAAAGGGGGTCTATAGGAAAGATGGGGAAAACCTTTTTAGTAGGGCCAGCTGTGTCAGGACAAGGGGTAATGGATTTAAACAAAAACAGGGTAGGTTTAGACTAGATATAAGGAAGAAATTCTTTACAATGAGGGTGGTAAAACACTGGAACAGGTTGCCCAGAGAGGTAGTGGAGGCCCCATCCCTGGAAACATTCAAGGCCAGGTTGGACGGGGCTCTGAGCAATCTGATCTAGTTAGTGGTGTCCCTGCTCACTGCAGAGGGGTTGGACTAGATGGCCTCTAGGGGTCCCTTCCAACCCAAAACATTCTATGATTCTATGAAGATGACTGATTTCCAGAAATAACTGTGTATTCTTACCTTAAGTATCTACTGGATCAAAGACATATATTCAATAATACAGAGACACTCATGATTTGAGGTTTCTACACAAACAAGTTCCCATTTCCCCAGAGATAAAGTTTGAAGTCTAATGAAGAAGAATGATCGTTTGCATATCTTTTATGTCATACTGTGAGGCAATTTTTATGCCACATGGTAAACACAGAGGAGAGCAAAGCACAAAAGTGGCTTTCAGACTGATTTGGAACTGCTTGATCCCAATTGGAAATATGATCAAAATCTGTCCAGTTACAAATGAAGTAAAGACCTTTAGGATGAGATTAGAGGATGATTTCTAGTTTTTTGTAAGTTTGTTCCAGACAATGAATTGCGCAGTAATGCCACTTAGAGAGCAACAAGATCTCTTCATTCCAAGATGCAATAAGATAGAAATATGTCCCTATTAGAAGATATTACTCAAAATCTCTTGATCTGGACATTTTTGTAAGTTCCCTCCTTGATTATGTGAGGTCATCTGCAGTTATGTGTTTTGCTTCTCTCAGATAAGCAGTAGCAGGTGTATAACAACAGTTAAGATGCGTACAAAGTCCCTTATCCCCAAGGAGAGCCCATCTCTGCCCCTCTGACGATTCAGCAGTAGATGACCTTGTTATACACTTCTCAGAGTCAGTGTCAAAGCAGATATTTGTACTCAGAGTATGCACATGAACTCCTGAGAGTCCTAAATCCTGAGCACTGGTAAATTCTTGAATGGAAAAAGTTCTTATTTAGTATTTAATGTATCACTTACTAACTAAAATGTATATGCAAGAAGCCAAATACTGAGTATGTGTGAGTGTCCTGTGACCTGAAACTAGCTTTTTTTTTTATGATATTTTCTGCACTGTCAGCATTCTGATTCTTCAGACTGTATCTGCAAACTCCTCTACTCTGCTGTTGCCAAAATCCCCACATGCTCCCTGTGATAGTGGAGAGATCCTTTAAAGCAAATCACTTCGCTCAGATATTCTACGGATAAGCAGGCATTCATTAACTGGGCTTTTCAGGTCATGCAGTCAAGACCTTTGATGTTTTCTGTTCAAATACCTGTGCTAAAAGCACTCCTGTGTATTTTAATGTCCCATGGAATATCTGGGTTTTTGAATATTTTTTTCACGTTTTCTAACTACAGCCCTCCTACAGAACTGGTTCAGACAGTTCCTTCCCACAGCAGACTCATCTGAAAAAAAATCACACTTTCTGGAGTTTTGGGGAATTTCAAAAGGGTGATGTGGTTCTTGTTGGTTTATGATACATACCTCGCCTGAGAACATATATCTACTGCCAAGTAGATGTGTAGCCCCTGCTGGATCTTCCCGTATCCATGCACTGAGCACTTCCATCACGAGCACAACCAGTGACTTCGCATTTCCACCATTCCTTCAGAAGGGAAACTAGGTCCCCTGCAATAGTCTGATGACTGTCCATGTCCCCAGATGTCAACCACTGCAGTGCTGTGCAGTAAAAAGGTCTCCTGTCAGGTTGGCCCTGCATGGCTGGTGAAGCTGCTGCGAGTCCGATGGGAGCAGCCGTGTGTGGCTGGGGCTGGCACGGCCACGGGGACGGGGTGGGACAGAGCAGGATGTGTCCGGGAGGTGTCTCAGCTTCACAGCAGGACATTCTGGGGGGCAGAAAGGTGGGGAAGAGACCAGCCCTACTGATGCTTCAGGGGAGCACCGTTTCCATGGCAACCCCTCCAGCCTTTCCCTCCCAGGGGTGGATGCCACAAGGAGAGCGTTGCCATAGCAACTGCATCCTGGGGAGGGTGTTCGAGGGCGTTGCTGTGGCAATGCCTCCCCAGCCCCGGCTTGGCGGGAAGGCGGGGGGCCAGTCGGTGGCCATTGGGGGGTGAGTCGTTGGCCATCGGTGGAGGGCAGGGATGGTCACAGGTGTCCACCCTGCCTCCACATGGGACCAGAGGGGTGGCCTCCACCAGGGCTGGCAATACAGCGGTCAAATAGTCAGGAACATTTTATTCATGAGAACCGTACTGTGCCGAAATATTCCGTGCTGAATAACGGAAAGGATCTGGAGCTCTCAGTCTCCCTGTTCATGTTCCTCCTTTGGTGTTGGCAGCTCCAGGGCTGGGGACATGACCTGCTAATTGCATCAGAAGCATGAGCCCCTTCTCTGCATATCCAAAGTAATTATGGTCTTATTTCAGTACATTACTAGAACTTTTGTTTTCTAATACTTGGAATACTGTTAAAAAGCGAATGGGTATGAGCATTTCCTATATTTTCCCATAGAAAGTATGAGAGAAATGGTTCCTGTTTCCTTGAAATAAATATAATTCTCTTCATAATCAATTTTTATGACAGGCCATCCCTGTGATGGCTTCCAGGTGACACAGAGCAAAAATCCTAGGGTTGTCTGGTATATTACTAAGGAGTGCAATGATCATTTCATGCCAGACCCGGTTTCCATCCCAACATGCAATGTAATGGAGCTCAGCCAAAGGTTTTACACAGGTCTCCTCTCATTTCCACTGTTTCAGCACAGGTCCTTGCCTCCATTTCCATACTTACACACTCCACTGGCCTTCCAGCCTCCTCTGAAAGGTCACCTTCTGCTAAATTACCTACAGATCTCATTCTCAGGCAGGGCCTGTTGACGTCTATTAGGAAAGGACAGGCCTGGTTAATAAACCTGATTAATGCCTTTGTGAACATTGCATCAGAGGGGATATGGGTGAAGAGTCAGGCATAATGTACTTGGTCTTTGTGATTTTTTCCAGCATGGTGTCTCAGGTAGAGCTAACATTTAAGGTCGCAAAGTGCAAGTCAATATTCAGCCCGATAAAGTATTAGCTTATTAATGTTTAGAGAAAGAGGTAGAAAACAGTTAAGAATCAGGTGGAAGTTTTTTAAGAGAAAGAGAGCTTCTGGGGCCGTTAGATTCACTTTCATCTTTCTTTACTTGTAGGTGACCTGGAAAAGTGAATACAGAGCAGGACATGCAGAGCTTACAAACCAGTAGGGCTAGCTAATACCACAGAGAAAATAAAATGAAAGACAGCAGCAAAGCCAACTGTCTTCCAAAGAACGCAGATGCTGCAGGGTGCTGTTAAGGGAAGTTTCTGGTGCAATAGTACAACCAAAGGTTTTAGGGTGAGTGGCACGTTGCATACCACTCCAGCCCCTGGAGCATATATCACTGCAATCCCCAAAACTCTGGGGAGAAAGGAGAGAGAGACGTCTGCACTTTCACTGGAGAAGTCATACTGTTGTCCTCCTCACTTTGGCAGATGATCAGTGCCGACACTCCAGCATCATTAGACTCTTTGAACTCAAAGACCTCTGCTAGGACTGGAGTAAGATTGTAAAAGGTCTCCTGAACTTTCCCTTCATATTCTTCTCCATACACACTGCCCTGTGACTCCCAAACGGGCATAACTTGCAAAAGGAAAAGACGTGCTGAATTGCTCGTACCTACTAGTAGCAATGTTGGGGAAACCTGCTGATAACCTAAAGCCATAGCATTTGCTGTAGTAATGCCATTTGTATGGATGGAGATAAATCCCAGTGAGCTGTAGGCACCTCCTCTGGGGTATAAAGTTCCAGTGCATGTTCCTGATGTTAGCAAGTCTGGAAAACTAATTATTGAACAGTGTCGCGCTGGAAACCACTGAAAAGTAGGAAAAATTGTAATGACAGAGGATCAAGTGATTATGAAAAGTAGGTTTCTGTTTCTTACAGAAAATTCAATGTTAGAAGGACAACTGGATCACCACTGGAACGGGCACAGTGTCCCTTTACCACTTCCTTTGTACCTTCCTAAGTGCTTTGATCTGTGACCACAGTGCATGGGACAGTGATTCAGCTGATTCAGCCGATTAAGTCACCATTAAAACAGGTAGTTTCCAGAGCTGGTGACTGAATAGCCACACTGATTTAAAAAGGGTTCAGGTCTGTGAGCTTTTAACTGAAGCCTGGGGTTGGCCAGTACTTAGGATATTGGTATTTATTGTTCTCATGTTCTCATATAAATCAGCTGCAAAGCACTGAGCTCAGACAAGTCTATTATTAGACTGTTCATGATATTTTAGGGTTTGCTGGTATTGGACTTGAAATACGTATTTGACTTAGACTTGAAATGATCAGTAAATAGACTTTGAACTATCTAAACCTCTGAAAGTGATATACAAGCTTGGCGTTAAAAAAGGCTTAGCTGTCTCATTTTAAAAAATGTAGGTAAGGGATGACTTGACTTTTCAGTACACTCAGCATTGGGAAGCTTAGCAACAAAACCATGGTTATGTTTATCACTTCTTAAAGACCGAATCAATAAGTGAAGAAAAAGAAAATTGTTAGACTTTTATGCTGGCAGTCTGATCAGCATGTACTGGACATTTGTCCAACCTTCCAGAGCATCACGAGACCTCAAATTTACCCTTGCTCTGATGTGTCTTGATCCTCGTAAAGGATCCATAAATGAGGACACTGTTCTTGAGACACTTGGGTGCACTGTATGGGGCTAAGCAGA